AGCGCGGGGGCAGGGCGGGTTGCTAGGAGACCGGGCGGTGTCGCCGGGGGACTGCCGGGGGAGAACTGCGCGCCCCGACGCGTGGTTCCCCGCCGCCCTGCTCCGGGCGTCAGGACGCCGGTTCGGGCCCCGCGTCGTCGCCAGCGCTTGCTCTTGACGCCCTCTTTGGTCACAGCCCTCCTAGGGTGTGGAAGTGGCGTCTCGGTGCCAGTCTGATGCCCGGCTCCCTGAGGACTTTCCACGTGCTTCCTTGCTGTGTATGTGCCTCTGGACAAAGGTCCACTCAGATCCTTGGTCTTTTTTTCTTTTTAATTTTTCATAGGGCGCTGTGCTTGTTGAAAAGAGAAAGTGAGAAAGCTCTTCCCGCGGGGTCTCCTCTTGGGATTTGGGGCGTGCATGCATTTGTCTAGAGTGGGTTTCGAGGTTCTGGGTCTGGGACTTAAACTGCGTGTCGGCCCTGAGGGATCCAGCTGCCCTGACCACCAGCTGCCAGCTGATGCTTCTTTGTCCATTTTTTTTTTACTTGATTTATCATTTTGTTATTGAGTTGTAAGTGTTCTTTACATATTAGGGATACAAGTCCCTTGTCAGAAATATAACTTGGGGAACCAGCAGTTAGCGTAATGGCTATGTCGCTGGACTTCCACATAGTCGACCACGGTTCGTGTCCCGGACCCGGTGGCTTAAAACTCACGCCGGGCACGTGTGCGTGCATGCCCAAGATCCCGAGAGGAGAATGGAGGAGAAGGGATTGCGGCGTGACCATCCCTCCTGGGGGGTGATTTCTCGCTTTCTGTCTCTATGTCTCTCTGTCTGGCGAGCGCATGTGCCCTATAGTGAAAATCTCTCAAAAAAAAAAAATGTAAAAAAAAAAAAAAGAAATATAACTTGCAAGTATCGTACCTGTGAATTCTCTTTTCACGTTCCTGGTAGTGTCCTTTGAAGCACAGAATGTTTTAATTTAAAGCTAGACATGTTCCATTACCCCTGCAACATCCTCTCCCCTCTTCATCTCAGCGGCAGCACTACGATCCAGTCTTCCTGTGTCCTTGCCAACACTTGCTGCCACCTGTCTTTTCATTACAGCCCTCCTGATGTGAGGGAAGCTTTGATTCCTCAGACTACACACTTGGAAGTCCTAAAGTCACCCTCGACGTCCTTCCATTCTCCTGCTCCTCCACCCTCCATTCCCGCCCAGTCAATAACCACCTGCTTCTGCCGCTTGTTTATGGAACGCACCCCCAGCTCCTTCTGTCCCGGCTCTTCAGGGCCTGTGTCAGACAACTGCCCTGGCCGATGTTGAGATTTTGAAACCTACATGGAAAAGGCATTCCCCAACTGCAATATTATTTTTACACTTATCCATGATTTATTTAGGTCTTTCATGGTTTCATTTTGTGCCCTTAAGTTTCTGCTGTATAGATCCAACTGTTTTTTCCCCCTAGGGACATACTCAGTTATCCAAAATGTTAGTAAGTGAGCAAGTGATCCATTTTCCCCACTTACTTGAAATAGCACGTTTCCCATATACAGTGCGAGCCCCGCCTAGGGGGTGCAATCTGTAGTGTGGTAGGGGGCCTTCCAGGACAAAGGACGATAACAGGCATGTTTAAAATGTAAGTACACATGTGCAGCCTGTGTGACCTTGTGGCCCTGCTGGCAACCTAGCAACTCTGTAACGTCATGTACCGCATATCCAGCCGCCGGGTAACCCAGTCCATGATCCTGTGACGGTCTCTTACCCCATCAGGAGTACGTACGGGAGACAAAGAAGCTAAAACAAACAAAAGGAAGAGCCCCAAGGGATTCAGGGCTCAGTCTTCGGACTTGAATCTGCTCAGCGCTAGCACACGAATAAATCGCTGCTTTCCTGCAAGAACCTCGGTGTCTGTCTCACTGAATATCCCACCGTGGTAGCATCCTGGGCTGCAGTGCTGGAAGTCACGTCCAGCCGTCAGTTTGGGTCCCTGGGTCAGCCTGGAAGCATGCGGGGCACTCGTGCAGGTGCCCGAGACGCTGAGCAGCTGGAGAGCTAGGGGAGGGGCCGTGGCATAACCAGAGGCTGTCAAGGGCTCCCTCTCCCTCTCCCCCTCTTCCTCTCTCTCATATCCATCTCTATCTCTCCACCCTCTCTCTCGTGGACATGCACACACTTTCTATCATTTAAAAATAGTCAATACCATGAATAAAAAATAGAAGAACTTTTCTGGATTAAAAGACTTTTAAAAGACCTAAAATTGAGATGCAATATACGAGCTTCAACTGGACCCAGGATTAGAAACAGCTATAATTGGGAAAATTTGAATATGGATTGAATATCTTAGAGAGAAAGAAAATAGCACAAATGTTTTTGGAAAATCAGTAATTATTTCATTCTGCAATCACTTCTCTGGGTCTTATTCGGAAGCCCTAAACTACCTAACCCAAGGCTATTTCACCCTCACACGCTGACAGTCAAGATAAAGGGCGGGGAGACCTGGGTTCTAATTATCCGGGAATGTATAATCTGGGGTGAAACCCTGCTCTTGAGTTCATGGGAATGCAAGGGCCAAAGAAAGTTTGTTTTTGGTGTTTTGTTGTTTTATTATGCCAGCTAGCACACGAGAGAGAGAGAGAGAGAGAGAGAGAGAGAGAGAGAGAGAGAGAGCCTCCTCCCAGTGGGCCTGGGCATGCCACATTCTTTTCCTCCTGGTCTCCGTTCTGTAAGATTCTGGGCGCGTACAAGCATGTATGTGCACCGTATATGCCGTCGGGATGGGGCTCAAAGTCTGGTCAGTCACGTGGGATCTGGCTCTGTCTGTACGTACTGACCAGGAAGCAGAGCCGGGTTCGGGGAGCTGCGGCGTATTTGTACACAGGTTGTACTCCGACACTGAGTCTAGTGGGGAGAAGGCCATGTGTGTGTGTGTGTGTGTGTGTGTGTGTGTACATTCTGTTGACCAAGGTTTTTGTGAATATTTGGCAATTTCCACGTTTGTTAATATTGACAAATAAACTGCCATTTTTATGCAATTGCACATGTTGTAGGCTCTGCCCGCGCAGCCCCCAAGCCTTCCCCTTCCCGGCCTCCCTGAGCAGCACATGAATCGCAGGTCCTGCTCGGTCTCCCTCTCCTCGCCCAGTGAAATGCAGTCTGCTGGCCCCGCTGCTCTCCTGCCCTCCTGGCCTGGACTACAGAATTACGGGCAGACGTACTGAGCTGCAGGAGCCGCACCCTGGCTCAGCCAGAGTCGCAGCGCAGCGCGCATGCGCCCAGCGAGTGCAGGCCCTGGGACGTGAACCGGTTCCCTGGTGGCTTCGGCATCCATAGCATTCCATGACTGCCGCCCCACTGTGGCCGGCTTCCAGATCTCCTGTTCCATGAGGAAACCCCGCATCCCTTTACTCCACTGTCGGTTGCATTTCTATTATTCGTAACCAAAGATCTTCCTTAGCTGACACAACACTGCAGAAAGTTAACTAATCTATCTTGGTCTAGACCTTTAAAGTCACAGAATTCCCGGAGACCTCACTGCAGAGAGCTTGCAGTCAGGCTGGTAACGGCTCTTACACTGCTCTGACCTTTCCAGGTCTTCTGTTTGCAGCAGGTGAGGGTGCCTAGGGGCTGGAAAGCAAGCGAAGCTCATGGCCTTTAGTCCGTGCGTTTCTAGCAGCTGAATGTGCCGTAGGAATGAAAATGCCCTGAAATGTTAATCGATTCAGTCTGACAGTGCTTGCCGTACCGTAAATCAGTACCATGATGTTTTTGTGAACTGCCGATGAAGACAGTGCTGCTGGGCAGAACCTGACAGTTACTGGAAGGACACGGCTGCTTTAAACATGTTGTTTTTCGTGGAACTCAGAAGGACTGAGCGCCTCACTCCCTTCGGACTGCTCGTCTGCTCTGGGGAAGGATGGGGTCACAATGGTATCAGAGACACCCTAGTCCTCATCAACTAGGATGAGGCTCTCCCTTGGCCAGCCTGGCGGGCGGGAGGTTAAGGGAGCCAGATTCCACATGGCTGGCCCACTGCCCAAGCTCTGGATCTGGCACCCTAAGAAACACAGCAGGCGTGTGTGCCCCAAATTCAGACAGGATGGAGAAATGGAGAAGGAACTGTGTGGTGACCACGCCACATGGGGGTGCTTTCTGTGTGTGTGTTTCTCCTTCTCTGGCAAGCACATGAATCCTCCTCTGGCAAAAATGTTTAAGAATTAAGCTTTGTTTAAGAAACTTTGTTAGCATGTGTGTGCATGCGTGTCAGGGTGA